CTGAAACAGACGGCGGCGAGTGCGATGAACCGGCAGCTCACCTGTCTGCAGGTCTTGGTGCCGATGAGCCGCGCGATGGCGCAGTAGTTGTCGTAGTACGTCCCGATGAGGACTCTGAAGAGAGACGCCTCGGCGCCGCTCCACTCCACCGCTTCAGCCTCACTGGACAGCTTCATCTTCACGGGAGTCTGACACCGCGAGTTTCCCTCTGCACACATCAAATCAACACTGAGGACGTTTCCAACGCCGCAGGAAATAAACCTGCATTTTGCCTCAAGGAACCAGGACTAAAGTGAGGAGCTCGACAGGTCATGAACGAGGGTCCTACTTTCAGGGAAGGGTCTAACAGACAGCAGTGGGAATAAAACAAGGAGCGCGATGGTCTCATGGCTGAAACTCAGCTCGCTTACATTTCCTCAGAAGGACAAACATTTCCGAGGAATCTACGATAAACAGCCGAGGAGTGCAACCGAATTCTGAACAACCAAAAGGAGGAAGTTTGATAAAACCGTAAAAACAAAACAAAAAGGCTTCTTATTACAAACACTGATGTCAGAGACTCCTGGTCAAATCGATCTCTTTGAGCCCAAATTTAAATACTTCAAATGTCTCAGTGCACGAATATGATTGAAGCGTCACATGACCACGTGTGCCTGCACTGTATGAAGACTCACTGCTGCTGCCTGTTGCTTTGCTTGCAAACTAGTTTGTGCAGTGATGACAGGAAGGAAGGAAAAGAGTGAGAGTCTCATAACGTTGTATAAACTCCAGGCCGTTATTGTCGTCACGTCGCGTGTTTGTGACTTTATCTGCAGCAGCTTTGAAGTGCAAACAATCGTCTGTGATCTGTGCTGTCAAACAAACGTCCCACAACAAGGGGGCTGCATGCAGAGGGGAAGACCCGCTGGTAGCAAGAGCATCGCTGCAGCGTTCAGCCTCATCGGTGAACCGCAGGCACGGTGCAGGTTACTGCACGCATGAAGAGATGCTCGACTCAAAGAGCCTCACAGGAGCACGAGGATCTCTTCTACAGTCTGGGCTGATCGCAGTTTTAAAGTCTTGATGAAGCAGCAATGTTACAGTCAGAAACAGAGATTACTCCAGCTGGTGGTTTCTATTTATCCAAAGTCCTAAATTAGCATCAAATGAATGTGCCTGCTGTTTGGGAATCACCCTCCTCAGAGGAAATAACTTTAACTTCCCAGGAAAAAGAATTCCTGAGAGATCAAGTTCGAGGTTCTCTGGATGGAGGCTGTCTCTGTGCTCCAGTGTTAAATTCTGCTGCCAATTCCTTCACAGATCTATTAAGGACAATAAGGGACATAAACAGAAGTCTTAATGTCCCATCAGAGCTGTAATTATAACGGCGAGGGAGGAGATGTGTTGTCATCTTTTTAATAACTTCATGGAAATAAACAGAACGGTTGCTGCGACTAATCTCTGAGGTCATCGCTGCTCTGAGCCCTACGCTTCACAGGCAGAAACGCTCCTGTTAGATCTGATGGACAAACAGAGACTCTGTTACGTCTGTAACCCTGTTAACGTTAAACTTCTACCGTCTGTAATAACCGCCGTCTGCACCTGAGCTGCTGGTGGTCTCGTCCTTCTTGTCCTCGTCGTCTTTGTCGTTGTCTCGCTCGTCCTCTTTGCTGCCCTCGCGGTCGCTGTCCGTGTCTTTGGTTTCAGAGGACACCGTGGGAGTGCCGGGCCGGCTGTTACTGTTGCTGTTGGGCAGCCGACCGCGGCGCCGGCCCCCGTTACGCTTGGAGGGCGTCTTTGCCCGCTCGGTTCCCACACCTGCGGCGTACTCCCTCATCATGCCGTCCTGAGGAAGCAACAGGAAGAGTGTTAAGTTAATATATTTTATAACTTTTCTGTTTCAGTTCAAAAGAAAAGCAGCGACTCGCCTGCACCACGTCCATGTAGCAGTCAACGCCACACGGGGTTTTGTCCACCAGGTTCTCCAAGTTCTTCCGCTTGTACGTGTTGGGAGTTGCATGGAAAGCTAAAAGAGACACGAGACAGAGACGAGGAATTCAACAGCCTCTTAAAACGGTGCCGGAGCCTCATCTGTCAAACGATCAAAGACTCTGACCTCTGAGATTTTATATGATGCAAACACTGCCAACAAAAACAAACTCAGGTTTGTGCCAATATCAAAAACAGCTGCTCGCGTTTCAGCGTCGATCACATGACGTGTCGAGCAGCGTTTATAACATCATCAGCACAGAGTCGAGCAGATGCTTTTTAGGATGTGATGTTTTATTCTTTACTTTACTGACACGATCAAACTAAAGGAATCAAGTTATTTTATGACTGTCAGATTTTTAATGGAAAGCTTCGGGGCCATTTTTATACCCACGATTCTTAAAACTGGCTGAACTATGAGTTATGTGAGGTTAGAGTTTTTATTTCATTAAAACTCCAAAGATAATGTTTGATAACTTTTGGGGAACAGAGTAAACATATCAGAGGAAGTTTGATTAGTACTGATGGAAGAAGCTGCAGATGTGATAATGCCTGATGTCACTCTGCAGGCTGATGTGACCACTGCAGTGAGTACATCACACAGTGACAGTTCTGCTGTGAAGTGTATTGATTGTGCACTAACGGTGGAGGAAGCAGTCGTATTTGAAGCATCGTCTGCAGAACAGAGTGTGGAAGGAGTGCAGGCTCTGCTCGCGCTGCAC